TGGTCTACTATCTTAAAATGTATCGTGAACTTTACACTGTAAATAAATAGCTTAGTAAGCAAACACAGCAATAAATTCTGTAACAAACTGTACTGTTGTAACAAAACTAAGAAATCCGCAGCAATTCCAAAACTAGGTGATCATTATCTTTCACCTAGATCAAAAGTGCCCGTTACATCATCCGTTAAAAGTTGGTGAAAAATATCCATTCCGACCTAGGTAGGACGGGTTAGTGTCGGTAAATTTGGACAATGGCCGGCGGTCGCCATATTTATGTGTTTGTTATCATGGACTCTAGCGTCCCCGTGATTTACACGACCCCCGCGGAACAAACAATCAATGTAAGTTTTAACACCTCCGGATAAGGGTTACATTTCTTAATGTAACAGATACGTTACAAACCGTTTGATAAGTAACACTGTTTGGTCGGTTTAAGAGAAGTAAAGAGAACCCCTCTACTTCTCTAAGAGGTTTATCAATGTGTAGTAAACTATATTACTGATAACGCCTATGTGGTCCAGTGGTTAAAGTTAAACTATCTTGACTAAGAGGATGTCCGTAACCGTAACCGAAACTTTCGGATATCCGAAATAAAAAATATCCGAAACCGTAACCGTAACCGATTCAAAAGTTTCGGATAGTTTCGGATGTAGGCAGTTTAAATTGTTTTGTTGTATAGCATTAAGTATATGTAAAGGCATAACAGCGTGATTTACCTTTATAATGCCATCTAGTATCAATTTTTATTTTTTTATTAGATGTAAAGTGTGCGGCCATGAATGAACCGTGTTGGACAACTATTGCAAATTGCATTCTAAAGCACAGATATACGTAACCGTAACCGAAACTTTCGGATATCCGAAATAAAAAAATATCCGTAACCGTAACCGAAACCGGTATAATATTATTCCTATATCCGTAACCGTATCCATAACCGAAACTACATATCCATAACATCCCTAGTTTCAATTCCCATACGGGACGGATATACTCGCTGCGCTTGATGTAGGTATTTGATGGCGATTTTTATGAGATTATTTGGGTAATATCGGAAAAGTAATATGTTGGATAAAATACAGGATAGTTTTACAGGAATCATGTTGATTGGTTAATTAAGGAAACACACACGATTTATAAAGGATAAATTGCCTATTAAGTAAAACCTCATGTCTTTCAATAGCTGCTAACTTGCAAAGCAATTAGAAAACATTTCGAAAACCANCCCCTCTAGTTCTCTAAGAGGTTTATCGATGTGTAGTAAACTATATTACTGATAACGCCTTTGTAGTCCAGTGGTTAAAGTTAAACTATCTTGACTAAGACATGGTTTCAATTCTCATACGGGACGGATATACCTACTCGCTGCGCTTGATGTATTTGATGGCGATTTTTTGAGATTATTTGGGTAACATCGGAAAAGTAATATGTTGGATGAAATACAGGATAATTTTACAGAAATCATGTTGATTGGTTAATTAAGGAAACACACACGATTTATAAAGGATAAATTGCCTATTAAGTAAAACCTCATGTCTTTAAATAGCTGCTAACTTGCAAAGCAAATAGAAAACATTTCGAAAAGCATCTATGCTGCTTGAAAACATGAATATTTACAAAACGTGACGTCAAATCACTCAATGGCAATTATTTTTTCGTTCCCACAGTGTTTACAGCGAGAATCGGTTTTTCCGGCTCTAAACACTGAGTTAAATCGCCTAAAAATATGGAATGACTTAACGCTATGTCAAATTATCTCGTGATAACTCTCAATCACGCGCTAATTCAATCACAAACAAAAAACGTCTGAAAAAACTGTTATATGCGGATTTGACATGTGTACATGATACGGAATCCGAAGGATCAATATTGGATCATCGGTGATTATACTTGCATTAGATCGGCGATAGATTTTTTGTTACCTTAACATTTTTTTTGTTTGAAAGCATGAGAATGATTATTGAGTCAAGTCGTACTATGTTCGAGAATTGAATCGAAATACTGAAATTCATTAGGTATCTATCGTACTTGAGGTTTAAAAGGGATTGAAGCAAACATTTTCTTCAGGATTCATCAGGATATTAGCACAGAATAAATACATAATAGTAGCACAGGTAATCATGATACATGAGTAATTAAGATCAATTTAAGCGATAAGTTTAATCCACATTATTGAAGTAACAGTTGAAATAGCTTATTTAGCTATTTATGGAGTAGAGTAGTACACAGACATGCCACAACAAAACAAAAAACACATCCACCCCAAATGGACACAATCAGTGGGCATCGATACAAACAAGTCGAAGGATAATAAAACCTTTAGGACGCGTACAGTAAAAATCTATTAAAACCACCGCGGTGGGCACAATTTATTGACGGTACACGAGCTGGTATGTAATGACGACATGATTGTCGACAGTGGACATGGCCGAACAAGTAAAAATACGGCCGTGATAAATGATTGCGAGGTGCGCACGCGTCGTTAAGGAATGACCAATTTGACCAACACAGCCCCGACCTGTGTTGGAGCGTTGATAGTATTGACTAAGTAATTATAACTATTCGAGAACTGAGAGGGGATTAGTTGAACCTGAAATTCACAGAAGCTGACTTCGTTGCGGGTCCAATGATAGGTTCACTTTCTCTCGGAAAAACTTGGCATTCATTGAGTTTTTCACAAGAGGTCACGTTGTAGATCCGGAATTCTGGACTAAACAGCACAAAAGGTGTTAGAATTAGTCGGGATCACAATTAAATTATATGCGAATAGTTTGCGAAATAATAAAGTTTTCAAGAGCACATCAGCATCTTTTTCAAATTAAATAAGATTACCAACAAGTTGTTTGATATTAATGTGTTAGTGACAAAAAGTAAAGACAGAAATATTCTTAGAATGTATAACAGAGTATCATCCAAATATTTCACATTAAAGATTGTCCTTCTAGATGGGCATGCCATGTCTCAAATTAGTTCTTCTGATACACAGATCTGTCATTAGGCCCGACTAGTGCCCGGGTGGTGCATTTGTCTAAAGACCAGCCACAGCTTAAATATACCAGCCACATTAATACATACATAGAAAGCTGTCAAAAGCACAACAAACAACGACTCATTGCTTGCACCATAATTGTAAAGTGGTATTCGGAACTTAATAATTCTACTTTTATCTAGTAAAATCAACTGTCATCATCATCATTTCAGCAGCCATAGGACGTCCACTGCTGAACATAGGCCTCCCCCAATGATTTCCAGGTGGCCTACACATCCAGCGCCTTCCCCATACCTTTATGAGATCGTCGGTCCACCTTGTGACTGAAGATATTAAATTTTCAGTAACGTCATATATTTTCTAAACTTTGTTATTGAAGTAGATAGATAGATAGATTATACAAATGTACAATCTTCTGTATGCAAATGTGCTGTCTGTTCTGTTTTCGCTGGCAAACTAACAAACAGATGCGAGCCTCCAGCGATAACAGGAGCGAACCATCTGAGAAATGCCGATGGTTATTTACGGCGAAGTCCAGCGACGACGGCGCAGGCGCAGCCAACAAAACACCAGACAAATGACCGCGATAATCTCATAGTTACGGCCGAGCTTAAACAAATCATTCGTGATCTAAGTAAATAATACCACCACATGTTGTCAGTGTTGTCACTTCACAATCTTATCCCGCTCTGACATAAAAGTGTAACTAATGTTACAAAAAATATTGTCATTAAAAACCTCTTACTGGTATTTATGATAACGTCAATTTTACTCTTAACACTTCTTTAACAAACTGTAAAGTAAAATCTATTAAGTGGGTATAGATTTTATTTGAATTTTATAGTGTCAAAATTTATGACTTAATAAAGTATGCGTCTGTTTTAGTTGCCGGGACAACTGTAGCACGCGGCGACGCCGGCGCAGCGACAAATGCCTTTCAAATTCCGAGAGCCACCGCGTGGGCGCGGACGCCGAACGCGATGCGACCGGGTTCAATTGAATCCGAAAGTACCGGCAGAACCACGGTACCACTGTGACATAGTTAAAAGTAAACGGTAACCATGATTGAACCGTGGCGAAAAGGTAATCACTACAATGTATCACATTTGCCCTAAACGAGATTTGAATCTGCAGTAGGTAGCTGGCGTTGCAGCTGACTGGCACGAACCACCAAGTATTAAGTGTAAAACAAATATACGATAAAATCATAATAAGGATGATGATGATGACAGGAAGAATTTGCGGTCGCATAAAGTTACATCTTGAGTCATGAGGAACATGCAGATCAGTTGCTACGACCACTATTAAGAATTGGAAAGGTTATATTATAACCAAGAGCTTAAATAATTCTTTTAGTTTTAGACTGAGACTGGGACGAATCTATTTCAATTTCATTTTAGTTAATTTTACATACTATGGTATTAAAAATATTAAAATATTGCTATAATCACAAATAACGTGAAGGCCGTCCTAGACGTGTCAATCAAAACTGACAATCGGACAAAGTACAAAGAGATACTTTTCTGGTTTTTCTGTGAACACACCACTAGAGCCTCAGGCGCGCCGCGCCGCCCACACAACGCTTTAAGATTTATAACATTACCCATATTCGGCCTACGAATGGCGCCAATTCGACGGTTCAAATTAAAATCCGCCGCGAATGCAAAACGTTAACACGAGATGTTGATAGATAGCTGAGTATTCCTGATTTACATCGTGCTGCTCCAGTCTTGCAAATTACCTCCAAGTTACAGCCAAAACAAAGATGTAAGATGTCTTAAAATTGTCAAATCGACCGAATTTGGGACAGTGGAATAAAAGAAATGACGATTCATCAATAAAAGTACATTTGGTGCGACCATAAAGTTCGCATCTTCTGTCAGACAAGAATTCATGAAGTCATTCGAATTTTCCAATGCGTCATGCCATTGTAGCAAAATCTACATAAATTACCAAATTGAGCAGACGAGATGAATGTTATAAACGAGTTTGTTAAATGTGGCAGAGGACTTACTCGATCACCTTATCCTTGGGAGGTATTATGCGTCCAGGCATAAAAATTTTCTTGTGGACAACACCGGCCGCTTGAAGCTCCTACAACAAAGCACACTGTTTAAAATATTGACACATTTAGCATACCTACACCTGAAGAAAAAAAACAGATTGAAGACTTCAAAGACCAAACGATATAGAAATATGTACCTATACAAGTACTTATTGATAAACGTCTGACGACAAGTGAATGTACTGACAAATCAATGAAGAATATTAATTACGAGTTCAATGTATCAAAACTAGTTTGAAATGATCGTGTTAGCTCATAATCGAACGCGGTTGAGATTATGTGCGGTGAGCTAAGCGTGAAAGACAAAACGTAATAATTGAATGGTAATCCGGACAGCCCGTGACAACTACGAGATATTATCCGAAGGGTGACGAAACGTAAGATCAAAATAATCATTGGGGCTCCGCCGAAACATGCAGCAGAATTTATAGACAAGTTAAAGTGATACGTGAATCTTTATTGGTTAAAATAAAACGCACACTAGTAAGTATGCTATATTGAAAACTATGGGAACTGTGACCGTTAAACATCGATAAAACAGTTGCATTATTACAGTCATTATCGTAGAAACAACGAACACTGCTTCTGTAATGCGAATAACCATTCGTCAATCCCCAGCAAACATCAATAAAATTAAAGTTTTACTCGTCATAAAGCAAACTAACGAATTCAGGCTTAGGAATGCGCTATTTAAATACTTCGAAGATGTCAAGCAAGCTGTAAAGAGTTTGTATGCGGAGACATTATTCCAACAAAAGGTGGCTATAAAAATGAAAATGGCAGAGAAACTACCGTTGAGTGAGGTCTGGCGCGTTGTTAATATGGCCTGAGTAACTGTTAAGGGTCACTCATCAGGGGATTAGCGTGGGTCGATTCATCCGAATACCGTATAAACGGGGAATGTGCGAACTACCAGCTCCGAAGTGGTAAATGCTCTGAGAGCTTGGTGGTTAGCGCATCAGCGAAGGTCGCGTCTATGTAAGTTACGAGAGCGTAGCGGACTACAAACATTGTAATGATTGTTTTAATTTTCATCAATAAAACTATTTACATGATGAATTCTTATACTAAATCGAATTTTGATAGTAGGCAAAGCATCTTTCAAGTGGCAAATTAATCACATTATCTTCTATGTTGAAGAAAGAAATATAGTTAGACCCAATTTCCAGGTATTTTTAGTGTATTCAAAATAATTGTTGACAGAAACAATGAATCACAAACGTAGTAAACGAAACAAGAGGTTGTTTACCGCGAAAATAAATACTTACTACTCTTGCACTTTGTCCTCATATATGACACGGAGTAGGTCCATGAAAACGCGGTTTTACGATCAGATTATGCCGCAAGATGAATGCAAGGCAATCAGACGCAACTACGAACAAAGCATCGTAGCGGAAAATGTGACTTTCAGTCGTAAAAGTGAGCATAATTTTACAGCTTCCAGGTATTCTGGCGCGGCCCGGCCCGAGCCGGCGTCCTACGGGCACATCCTAGTTAGGGCGCGACATATTTCGGACAGAGAACTCAAAACGGAAAACCTCTGAAGATAAATCCATTTTTAAAGCTGAATTACCTAGAATTTATGAATTATCTTCGAAAAGATCATACATTTCTCCTGACAGGAAATCAACCGAAAGATGAATAAAACAATTAAATATTTCAACACATTTTTTGAAACCCTAAATTCCACAGTGTAGAGCTCTGTAAGTGTTTAAAGAAAACACAATAAATTATTCACTTAAAATCTCACGGCAACATGGAAAGCATTGGGGGAGGCCTAATATGTTCAGCAGTGAACGGGACTGCTGCTGCTACGGCTGAGATGACGATGATGAAAATCTCACGGGTTAAGAAATAATGTTATTGACGAGTACATTTTCAAATCCCAGTCCACAGAGTTCAATCCCCTTAAGTTCTGACTTAAGCACGAGACAAGTGGAGTTACATTCAGCAAATACCGCGAGGCAGTTACTTTTCATTATCGGTAACAAAAGCCGAGAATACATGACTTAGAAATGCCGTGAAATGAATGGTGCGGTATGCGGTATAAGACTGTAACAAACTGTATGAACGTATGGGAACGATACTTCACGTCCAGAATGTCCTGAGAAGCTTTCGTATTGAGCAGATATAGATATTTATTTATTATTTGTTTTACCTATTTTTAACAATAAGAGGCAGCTTCAGAAGAGAAGTTCTAACATAATGTACGCCACGGGAAACAAAAAACTAGAAGCTAAATAAAATAATGTAAATCAAATAGGTACTTACTCTCGGATCGTAGTAACGAGCTGTGTTCGTCAGATCTATAACGGCAACCAAATTCGGGATTGAACTCAAAAGAGCTTTTACGTCCCATCTGAAAAAAAGATAATACATAATAGTATCATTAACAGACCAAGTTACTGATTTTACTAAGTCAACATGTGTCTTTTTATTGTGGATGAATCGAATAAAATGAATGTAAATGAAATCAAATCGTCTCATTTAAACGAGAAATTCGATATCGCGTCGTTATCTTTTTACTGCATCCCCATTTCCAGCATCACATTGAATTAACCGTTTTATATTTTCAATTATCATATCATCATTACTGGTTCTGAAGGGTCGAGCTTCGCCGGGGTCAAGCGGAGTACTGTCAGTTTTTCAATTTGCTAAATGTCCATTGAGACCGCTGCGCGCCGAACATTTTAAAACATATTTATTTCGTCGCCATCAGTTTGAGCTTTATTGCCTTTACGCAAGAGTGACGTTCCCGTATGATGTAAGTGAGAGATACGCGTGAAATTGATCCTGGCTTTAGAACGCCGCTGTGTTTTGAAGCTTATTCCTTAAGCACTTTCACTTTGGCTTTAATGTGATTTTATCACGTTGTAAATGTTACATGAGCCTTGACATAATATTATAAATGATAAAATACCGTTTTAACACATTTCATCTGTAATGTTTTTCTTTATCTTTCATTTCGATCATCACTTCGTCAAATAATAATAAATTACGAAATATATTATTCACTACAGCAAAATAAGTGTGCATAATATTATACTTACATTTCTTTAATTTCTGCTTTGTTCGTTTGTACAGTCTGAAACAATACAAATTAGGTGTTCATTATTTTTTTGCCACTAATAAACAAAATTTTTTATCAAAAAAATATGTTAACCTGAACTTAAAAAAAAATCATGTTTTAAATTAGGTAGACATTATTTGGACCACAAAATAATGTTTCCCACCTCTCGTTCCCACCACTGCAACTCCTGTGTAGCCAGGATCTACAGCTTGACCGCCACAAAAACCCAACCAATGAAGGTCAAGTTTGTCCCGGGGGAAAGTTAAACTGTCATTGGACCCGCAACGAAATTAATCAGAAGAACATAGGAGGAGTTCGAAATTAAGGTTCGACTTCCCTCCATTGCAAAGCGGATGACAGGTGACAAACAAAGGTTTAAAACCTTTAAGAAAAAGATTATGCACCACGGACAATAAATTAAATTAAGGGGGCCTATCTTATGAGCAATTAGCAACTACCTGCCAATAATATTTTTCACAAAATCGCTTAAAAGCACGGAAATTTTTCCTTGTCGCGACAAGATCGGTGTAATAAATTGCGGAAACAGATGTATGTTGTATTGAATTAAGCATTATATCACGTTCATGTTTCCAAAGATCACACTCCCACAAGATATGATGGGCAGACTGCTCATGACTGACATCATCAGTGGAACACTCGCAAAAAGGAGACGGAACTAGTTTGAATTCGTGAAGTTTATGTTTAAAGTTGCCATGTCCCGTGAGGAACTGCGACGAGCAATGGTCGATTTCTAACCATCGCCTAGTTAGACGTTCGCGTACGTTCGTTTCAGCCAAATGACGTCCACTGCTGGACAAAGGCCTCCTCCAAGGCTTTCCACAATGCACGGTCCTGCGCTGCCCGCATCCAGGCTCTTCCCGCGACCTTTACGAGATCGTCGGTCCACCTAGTAGGAGGCCTGCCCACGCTACGTCTTCCAGCCCGTGGTCGCCACTCGAGAACTTTTCTGCCCCAACGGCCATCGTCTCTACGAGCTATGTGCCCCGCCCACTGCCACTTGGTTTTAGCAATTCTGCGATTCTGCGATCTACGTTCGCGTACATTCGTTACAAAATAATGCTTCTTGTTCTTGTAATATTCAAAATAACAGTAATAATATAACCCACTGCATTAAAAATCCTACTTTGATGTTAAAGCAAAGTCTACTCCCAGCACCACGTTAATGTCAAAGACTTAATTTAAAGCCTACAGTGTATTAGCACGGGCCGGCGGTCAAAGACAATGCCTTTGAGCAGGCGACAGACGGAGGTGATAAGGGCGCGGATCCATCATCAGCCCTACCTGCGCGGGTCAACGACCCCACCTGACGGATCGAGTTTGGACTTTTGGACACACACGGGATCAATTGAGTAGTAAGTAATAAGAAGGCCAATTTTGGATGTGTCAACTTTTTGACACTTGCATTCTATAGACGTTCTATAATATCAGTTCGAAGGGAGGCTGTATTTTTGATATTTTGGATGTATCCCCCTTTCCAATTAGTGGTTTAACTAGGTGATCTTTCTTTTTTATGGCGGCATATGGAAATTTCTGTTGCAACGTTTGCTACTTATCATTACGTCATTTGACCAAAACATATAAACTATTGATCTGGGATGCGGATGTTATAAGCTAATTTTAATCAACCTAAAAATAGTAATTTAAGTTTCTCATACAATAATAACATGTACCGTACCCTATGTACCGTTGACATCACGTCATTTAATGGTTTTACTAATTAATTGCCACTCTAAAACTATTTTGCTAGCACCTGTATATTTTTATAAATATAAAGAAAATCTACACAGATCTTTTCTGTGGAATCACTTATCTGATCGGCTACATTGTTTTTATTGGTCAAATTAATCGCCGGTATCAAACCGCTTTTAAAATAATCATGAAAAAAATTAAATAAGTATTCTGAATCATCCCACACATAAATCTCGGAACCCATTTCTCCTGCACCGCGGGCCGATATTTTTGGGTAAAAATATTCAATTTTGCCCAAAAATTAAGCTAAATAAAATGTCAGGCCCCATAATAATAGGTTGTTAGATTGCTCATAATTTATCGACGGTGTTGACATGATGAAAAAAGTATATCGTGAAAAAATACCAAAGCGCCAGGAGGTGTGTCCTAAGTGGGGTTAATTTTCAATTTGGATTCGCTGGTGGCCTTTATAAATAAAGCGAGGCCGATTTAAATAAATTCACGTTGTTCGGTACTGAGAAATGTGCATAAATATTGGACATTGCCACTTGATCACGACTTTGATTAACATTTTATATGATCGATTAAAATTAATCGGCGACATGAGAAAGTCGCAATTTCGTCGGACGTCTCTGTCTGGCGGTACCGAGAAGCAATCCTACGATTTATTAATTGCCGTACAGCTGACAATCGTAATGAACCGATGTAAATCGTATTCGAACAATTCATTGCGTTAAGTTCAATTAAACAATAACATATAACCATTACGATGTACGAGTAAATACGAAAATTAATACTTTAAATTATTGTCAACTTAATAAATTGTAATTTTATTTTCAACGAAATGGAATGGATATTACTAAACATTTAAAGTGTGTGCGTTCGTTTAAACAACAGAAACATGCCTTTTCCAAACAATCAGATCTCGCCGAATCCATTTACCGCGAGTTTCAATTAACTTTAACGCGCCGGAACAAATAAAAGCCTGCAGGACAAAGGGGCTTATCGGAACCGCGAATGTAAAAAGTGTGGTGGCAAACAAAGTTGACCTGACCCAAGGAATGCATTCAAAATCATTTCAACGTTCACTTGCGGTGTCAACTCCGAAATTAAAGTTTTAAGTGCCTAGTTTAAAACTGCAGTCGAAAAGAAAGGAGCTTTCAGTAAAACGACAATCTTGAATCAAGAAAATCATTAGACTTAGTAAGTTCTATTGCCTAATCTAACACAAATATATGTAGAGGTAATTCATCTAACCACTCATTACCAAACATATTTATTACTTAAAGTACATTACACGAGTAATGCATATTAATCTGAACAAATTTCCACCGCACAAAACTAATAGACTCGAAGCGATATCGCTTACCACACACCGTAGTAACAAATTGGCGTTCCATAATAACAGAGCCCAATAATGTATCTAGAATTAAACACGAGGCTCGCAATAAAACCGCGATGATCCGCGAACATAAATCGATACCATTACGATATTAATGACACTCGTAACTCTCAATCACAAGTCGGGTCCGCACGCACCGGTACGCACCTACAATATTGTTATTTATCGCCATCTACTTTTGGTATGTTTTACTTGTTAAGTAATTGAGAAATGCTGCAAAATCTATACGTTTATATCGTCTTGCTTGTGAATAAAACATTTCGTAATGAGTAAACCCCATCAATAAAAGCACAAGACGTCATAGCTACATAACGAATACGACTGTCGACGATACTAATATGATACACATGACAGAGATACATATGTTACAAAAACTCTTCGAAAAAAATAAAAGTCATGTACTTGAGTAAGTACGCAATAAACAATTGATTCGTTAACCTATCCACAACACCGACAAGGAGATTTTTAAATAACGACAACCAACGATAAACCTTCACACAAATGGAATGAATCGTTAATAAAATAATCAACAATGCAACTTAATAAATCGCCAATTGCCCGCTGACAAAACCCATACAACACGACACGAGCATGTATTACTTACACATGTCGTACACAGCAATAAAAGTAAGTTTGTCATTTTTACGACACGACGCGCTTTTGCAAACATGAACGATGGAGGGAAACGCAAGCGCCACCTGCGGAGACACGCCATACTAATTGAAAGATGACCAAATTTCGTGAAGTGAATCGTTAAAATTGCTATCTCATCTCATCTGCAATCTTAAAGCTCGCCTAAATCGCCATCCATAACCCAAAATCTTTCAAGACCTACACCGCAGCCAAATGAAATAATAATCCAGACCAACCTTGACAGTGACTTATGTTAAAAATCATGACTGTATGAATGTCAAACAAAAAGGAACAAGAGTCGAGGACCTCCCATCAAATTACAAGTGGCAAGCTTCTGACTTATCGCACGATCGCGTGTCGACAAAACGAATAACACCTTCGCACGACTCGATCATATTTGACAAATGCGAGGATCAAATAATCGCAAACATCGACCGAATCGCATTCAACGATAACCAACTCATTGGTCGCTAGAATAAGAACGAAATTTAAATCACTTTGCTAACAGCAAATCATGAGATAGTGATCGGCATATGTAAAATAATGATGTAGCCTGCATAGCAAATAGACAATATTGTATTTTAGATACAGCAGACCAGATCTCTACAATTATTTTTTAGAAGTCATCGTATTAAACGGTATGCAAATCTGAATTATTATTCTGAGTCACCCTTACTACTACTGAATATTAGATTTCATTTGTAACATTGTTAGAAACAAATCTAGACAAGACCAAAGAGAATTTATGGGATTACACGAAAGGGCTTGTTGCAACTCATAGGAATTGCTCCTACACCCAATAAGATTACCTATAATTTTCCAGGCTTTCTATAAACAAACCATGATCAAATTCAACTACGAGTATGTTAATATTACGAGTATTTTAAATTACATAAACAATTGTTTGAATTAGCAGCTATGCTTCTGTAAACTTAAGATACTGTATTAATTAGTGTTGTATTAATTTTTAATCGTCAACCGGTTCTTCCAAGTTAACCGGTACGACAGCCCAAACTAGATTCCACGCTAGAATTTCATAATGCATAATAATGACCTTTGATAATATTCTAAAATATTCATACTGAACATTAACAGGCGTGCAACATTTTAATTATTCAGATTCATTGTACATTGTTAAGTGACAAAAATTTAAACGGCGCCGCAGTCTATTAATCATTTATAGGGTAACTGTTTCGACATTTCGAAAATGCAAGATCACTGATCGCCGTGGGGAGAAATTCAAATTTTATTCATTGGCGTCTAAGATCTA